CTGCTGATAAGACACAGAAGAGATGGTTAAGGCAGCTTTGGAAACTAGTTGGTGACATTTGTCCTTGATCTGAAATGCCTGAACATACAACATTTTTAGTACAGCTGAACTGTCACCTTCCAGCCTGCCAATACAGATAAACACACATGTTATCACGCCAATCATGCAGAAAGAAAATTTCCTGAGGAGGCTGTTGAAGCCCGCTTGGCAGGAAATGATGGCTATTAACTCATGAAGTTCTGTCTGCCTCTGTCTTTTTGTGTGTGAGGTGTCCACACAGCTCTAAGGATAATTAGTTTCCTTCAGCTTAGTGAGTATTAAGTAGTATTAAAATGCTTAGTTTGTACGAACAACACATTCAAGGACTGGGAGCAAACCACCCAGAAATGCCAGCAAACCCCCTTTCATCTTTAAGTTGACAGAATCCTGATTGCGGGGTAGATAAGATGGGTTTGTTATGTTTGGATACATCATGGTTGATGGCTTTGTGAGAAATGTTACTGACTTAATCTGGTGAGTGGACTGGTCTGGGCAGAACCAGATTAAAAGGTCAGGATCCTGTTCAGAATTAGATTTCGATAATGCCAATGTGTGCGTGCACCCTGTTAGACTGGCAAGAGTTTTAATGCAAGAGATACTGTACTTTAAAGATACCCTCTATTCTTACATGTTACAGTATTTTGGAGGTAAAATGGATAATAGAAGGTAACTGTCGTTGTCTCACATCCCATCTTCAGGCTAATATGCTCATGTCCAAATGGCATGACCATGCACCGGGTTGTTTCAGGTGGCACTGCGCTCCGGGGAGGGTTGTCACCCTGTACACTTCAAAGCAGTTTTTGGACTATTCACTGCTACAGGGCTTTCCCGAACCAGAGCAAGGATGGCCCAAAAATGATCTGAGGTCACCTTCAGCTGTGGCTTTTGGGTTGGTTTTTTTTTTTTTTTTTTTTCTGCCAGGAACAGGCAAAGAGCATTGGGTCTGGGCCAATGTTGTTTGTAATGAATGTTGCATGGGCTTGGTGGGAAGGAGGAAGGATTTATTTGTCAAATAGGGCTTCATTTACTATGTAAAATATGAAGGCTCCCATTTTTGTGTTGCTGGAGAAAGTCAATTGATTAATAATTTGGAAAAAGGCCAAGACACACAACGTTCACTTTTCTAGTTTATCGTTTCAAAGAAACCAAAGTGATACGAAAGGTACCTGACCAAAATTCTTTATTAAATAGAAGTGAAAGCTGGTTCATATTAATGCATTTAGTATGAAAGGGCTTGTTAGGACATTGCTATTACCAGCAACAAACATAAAAAAATTCAGAAGTTGATAGTTAAGACTGTAGGAAATTTACAGAAAACTACTACTGATAAAATAGAGGAACTTCCACATTAACAATAACTTCAAAAAATATATTGGAGAGTAGGGAGGTTAAGGTTGTTAAAACAACTTCAGCAATTCCTGGAAAGAACATAAACTCAAAGTTGAATCTTTTTCATCATTAAATACAGTCTTAGGGGGAAAAGAAGTGTACAGGCTCTTCTAAATCTTGATTAAATATCACATTGTGAAAGCAGTCATATTGCCTCCTTTACAAAGATTCCATGTGCCAAACCTATTACAGGGATGGTCTCCAAAACAGTTCTGATGTGTCCCCATATACACATTCTTTGGCTCTGGAAGATGGATGTAATGTGTTAAGTATGGAAAAGCTTAAAAAAGAATGGTGCTTCCCAGCGGTGTTTATTTTGCTGCCAGGCAAAGAAAAGATTGTCAAGCAGCAGAACGTGTTCTTTAGCTTTTGATCCAGGAGAGCCTTATGTTTGCATGCGTGACATACTTTTTAGTTCATAAAATAGAAAATGGTATGAACAACATCACAGAAAGTGAAGAATCATAAAAGAATAAGTACAGGAGATGCTGTTCAGTTCATGAGATGGCTGGTGCATTAAATGCAGTATTTGTCATTACTGCAAGAGGGGTACAGAACTGTCAGTAGCTGAGATTTGATGAATAGCATCTTCTGGTCTGGCAAAACACTGGAGATCTCCCTCTAGATTGTCTACTTTGTTTTCTCTTCCTGCCCTCTTTCACCAGTTGGGATGCTTAGGACTCCTCTGTTCCTTCTCCTTTCTGTGTCCTTGCCTCCTCTTCCAGGGGATATGGAGCCCCTCTCAGATGGTTTTCCATCCCTTCCTTGTAGTGATGAAGATCTCACCTCCTCCTTTACACCAAACATCTTTACCTGTTCAACCGGGCAGCTCTGCTGCAGAATACACCATGCTGAGACTTAACAGACCAGTGGTATTGGTGTTTGCATGGTATTGCAAATTTGTGTGTGGCTAGGAGTGTGACACATGTAACAGGTCCTATGTTTGCAATACTGTGCTTTTAGAGTGGAGATAAGAAAGTTTTCATCAGATTGGAGGGCTTTAGCAGCAACGCATAAGCATTGACCTTTCCTCTGATCACAGTACTTTAAACACTTAAAATGATACACTGAAATGGATATGCTGTTCTTGTTCAAAACTGGGAGTTATGTACATTCCAATTAATTTTCAAAGTTTAAGAAAAAAGAAAACACACAGGTTTTAAGACTGTTTCATAGAAGAATCTAATTTGTGTTGCATCTCATTGTGCTAGAAAATCGTCCTTGTCAGGGCAACATACACAAATATTTCAATCCGATTAGATTAACCTTGTCAAAATCATGGCAATAAAATTAAAACTTGCCTCCTACTTCAAGGCTAAAGCTGTGGACAGAACTTCACTTTACATTTCTACCACTCTACCATATAAAGTCAAAGAACCAAGAGGTAGTCACCAGTCTGGTGTTTTTCAGCCTTTATCTTGTGATACTGCAATAAGGAAAAAGAAACACAATAATGAGGGCTTTCCTGGGTTGAGAACTCATTGCAGTATTATTTACTTCTGAACCATTCTTGACAGCTCACCACAAATTTGGCACCAGCCTTTTCAGATTTCCCCTTTTGCTTTTAAGTTCTTAGTTTAGAAAAACTTCACAACTCTTACGAGAGTCACCCCCATTTCTTGTCAAAAGGGAACAGGTTGTTAGAGCCTCACTTCGAAGGAGACTATGAATATTTCTGAGACCAGATTCCATGCCCTGATTGAAGGCGTCCTGCAGTATCTCTACCCAGGCAATTCAGTTTGCTCCTGGTTTTGCTCTAGGGCCTTGTCTGCTGGTCAACCATATTGCATACTTACATATATACATATGTACATGCTACTTGGCTCTCAGGTTCCTCTCTGGGATGCACCAACTCCACGAGGAACCCTTGACACAGCTAACAAGTGATAGGACAAGAGGAAATGGCCTCAAGTGGCGCCAGGGGGGTTTAGGCTGGATATTAGTAAAAATGTCTTCACTGCAAGAGTGATGAGGCATTGGAACAGGCTGCCCAGGGAAGTGGTAGAGTCACCATCCCTGGAGGGGTTCAAGAAACGTGTAGATGTGGTGCTTCGGGATATGGGTTAGTGGGTTAGGTGGTGTTGGGTTGATGGTTGGACTTAATGATCCTTGAGGTATTTTCCAACCTTAATGATTCTGTGATTCTATGACAAGATGGTTTGCTAAGACATCCTGCATAAATGAGCAAATGGCCAAGCCTGAGTCCCCCTGCTCTGGATGCTCTTCTAACCCTATCCCAAAAGACTTTACCCCCTCAAACGACCCCTTGTGCCATGCAATACACATGCTTGTGTTTCATGCTATGAAACACTTCAGTGGGTTACATCACAACAATCTCTTCTTGCACTTCAAAAGAAAAATAGAATCATAGAATCATTAAGGTTGGAAAAGACCTCAAGGATCATCAAGTTCAACCGTCAACACAACACCACCCAACCCACTAACCCATGTCCCGAAGCACCACATCTACACGTTTCTTGAACACCTCCAGGGATTGTAACTGTATTTCAAATTAAAAAGAAAAATAGAGAACAACTGTATTTCAAGGCACAACATGGGATCCAGAGCGTGTTGGTCCCAACAGTATGTGGAGTCAGCAGCCTGGAAAAGAACCTGTTGGTAACAACCAGATGAGCAGCTGCACAACCAAGAGTCAACATAGAGCCAGGCTAAAGCCAGAGCTTTCAAATAGAAAGGTGATATTCACTGAGTATTTGTATTTAATGATGCTTTAAGCTTTTTTCTTGCTCTTTTGACTTTTTTTCAGAACCTGAGGCGGGAGAGGTGTCCCCCCCAGTGGGAGCTGGTGTCAACAGCAACAGCTGGACCTTTAAGTTTGGACCGGGCAATCCCAAACAAGGTGGTCCTGGTGAGTTGCCAGACAAATTCATTATCCCAGGATCTCCTGCAATCATCTCCATCCGGCAGGCGCCACCAAACAGCCAAATTGACAAAAGTGACTTCATAACCTTTGGCAAGAAAGAGGAGACCAAGAAAAAGAAGAAAAAGAAGAAGGGAAACAAGACTCAGGAGAAAAAAGAAAAGGGCAACAGCACCACTGAGAACAGTGACCAGTGAGGGGTTTATACTCAACAAACCCACTTAGCCAGTTTTTGTAATAATGGTAAATTTCTCCTATGTAGCAACTCCCCAACTTCTTCCTCCTGTTACCAGATTTCCTGTATGTACAGCCTTGAGAACAGCAGCAGGAAATCCTCAGTGTCTGTCTCAATTGCTTTACAGGTTTTGTCTTAAAAGCTTTATTAAATCTGTTGTTAACTCTTTTTCTCCACTCTGGCTTGTTTTCAGAATCTAAAAAGCAGACACAAGTTTCCTTTCTCCTACGCCGAAAAGGAGAATCTTCCCAGTACAGCCAGTGAGAGGTTGGACTCTGCACTGTGGTTCCTGTGCTCCTGTCTAGATGACACTTACAGGACAGGTTGAAAGGTTTTAATGTTGTGCACCCTCTATCTGATTGGAAAGCTTTGTGTGCAGATGTCAGCTAGGTGATACAAGATCAGGTTAGAAAATGCAAGAAGAGCTGGTAAATACGCAACAGAGGAAACACCTCACAAACACAAATGTTCAAAGATGTTCAGGCTGGGGAGGAAATGTCTGAAAGGAGATGAGCAGACTTTTCACATCTTGAGAAGTCCCCGTGTGGAAATACTGAGTCCTATAGGTGACTCATGTATTATCCACACTCCTGCAAATAAAACCTCACATTTACAGCTCCTTAAGATGCCATAAATTTGTTCTTTTACCAAGCAAGCCATTGGGAAAGTGATCCCTTAAAAACCCCTGCATTTCCCTGGCAAGGCTCACTCTCGGAGCATCCGAAGGGCTGGGCTGACATCCCAGGAATGTAACTGACTGTGATGCTCTGTGTCCCTGTTGCCACTCTAACGTTATTTTGCACATGATGTCTCTGAAAAGGTCAGAGTTTTTCCACAACACTTATGCAAAAGAGAGAGAGAAAAAAAAAGAAATGTTAACTATGCTATTTGTCATTTGAGATATTTATTTATAAAGAAATATAGCTGTAAATGTTAAAGAAATATGATGCCCTTTAACCCAAACAGAAGTCAATCTAGAGCCATTATAAAATACAATTGCTGCTATTAAAGTGCTTTAGAAAAATTGCCTGAAACATCTGTATTATATCGGCCACTTGCCAATAACAGCTTTATTCTGTCGGGTGACTTGAGGGCTGCCTCTTGCATGTATTAATGAATACAAGAATATCTTGTCTTTTTTTTTTTTTTTTTTTGCATTAATCTGCACTTTGAATACACCTTTGCAAACAAACTGTCCTAATATGAAGAAGCAGAAGCAAACTCCTCACACAAATGGATTTACTAACCTGCTAGCTCTGTGCAGTCCCTTGGTGTTACCTCCCACACTACCTTTTCTGATTTTAGTTGGACTTTTCTATGAGATTATGACCTTCTGACCCTACTAACACTCATTATGTAAAATTCAAGTACTGTATGTATGCTGTATGCTCTTATAGGAATCCTGACATATTTATTCTGTGCTTGTGTATGTGAATGTCAATGCAACTATTATTAGAGTGGACTTTCAGCTTTACCGTTGAATGTAAATCCATTATTTCTTTTTTTGTACACTTGTGGAAAAGTGGAGTAGTGTTAATTTTTTAAGCCACTGTTGATGATCAGTTTTTTTGTGTATGAAACACAAGTAAAATATCTTTCTTAAATCAAGCCATGCATGCATTTTGGGATTTCTTGGTGAGAATCTGTGAAGCTAAAGCCCTGTGAATTACTAAACCTAAGGGTATCAATGGAGTATTGAATGTGATTGAGGATGTTGATATCAACCCAATAAATGTATTTTTAAATAGAATATAGCTGATGAGGGAATTCCAAGGAATTTTCTACATCACTGTACATTCACAGAATAAAGCTCAAGTGTCGTATTAATTGGAACTGTGTAAGAAACTACAGAGCTCTAAAATTTCTAACAGACCCTTTCATGTAGGATCAAAGAGAACAACGATTTCTTGAACCATGTCCTGGATATTTGAAGTTTCCAAACTGCTGCCTGTTCAGAATAGAACAATTCCTATTCATTTTTCAGAACCTGCAGCAAGTCGTAAAACATCACAGAAAGTCAAGCTCTAATAAAAGAATTCCTGTCTCAAGGCATGAACCAGCAATGGCCTCGTGTGGTCTGTTGAGAGTTTTAATTTGCTACCAGCCTTGTTTTACTGGCAAGGAAAAATATGCTACTTGAGAAAGAGGATCCTTGATTCAGTTTTAAAAGCTAGCCAAAAGGAAAAAAAAAAATCAGGGAGGGAGACAGTTTTTTATGCCAGTGTGCTATGCAAGTACATTTAGACTTTTTTTAGTTGGTGACTAAGCCAACCGTTCCCAAAATGCTCGTAAATGGGAGCCACAGTGGTAACTTAAACACACAGAGGGATGCTGTTGTCTTGTACTCATAAAGTAGTTCTCCTCGATGCCTCTGGCAAAAATCCAGCGCAAAGATTTAATTCTTACAGGAATATTTAACATTTGATTATTTTTAGGTTTTAATTGATTTTTTTTTCTTTTGAGTGCTTGCATTTTTCTCTGTACAGGCCAATCTGGTTCATCAATTTTTCCTCAGTGGTCGTACACCGCTGGTTTTCCAAGGCTTCCTTCTAGCAGAATGAACCAAGAGCTGTAGTATGGCTCTGATTTGTCTATTTTAGCACCAAGTTCCATTTGCCAGTGCTGGCTTTCTTACAGGTGCAGGAGGACTGTGTTCTTGCATGACTTTGTAGACAAAAGCAGAATATCTGCAGACAAGCATTCTGGTCTGGAAATCTGATAGACCAGAGGAAAAACTCACAAAGGAAAGGATGCTCTTGCTGGAATTGTTTCAAAAGAGGCTAGATTGCACTTGTAGAATATAGATTACAGGAGATTCACTGTGTTCTCAGAAGTCTGAAATCAGGCACCTCACCAGACTTTTTAAGGATTTTTCTGTATTTGAATCCTCAAGTACAACCGGGATGCTGAGATGTCTTAAGTGAAATTTGGCTATTTCCAAACTAGTATACAAATTACACCAGGAACACCCTTGATTTTGTATGTCCACGGGGATGGCATGAAGGATTTTTGGAGGACTGGGGAAGAGGGAAAGGGGGGGGGGGCAGACTTTGCACATTCTGCCCCAGTTTTGGGGGTTACTGTTTAAATACCACACAGCGATGGGAACTGAGAATCAGAGGTGACCAAGAACAACAAGAATCAAGAAACAAAAGTTCATTTCATCCTCTTGCTGACAATGAGATGAGCAAGACAAAAGACACTGCAGAATTTGTTAACAGGGAAATTAAAATTTGAGGGCTTTTTACCACTCAAATAATTTCTTTCTCTCAGAATCCATCTATTTTCTGTGAGTGTATTGTTTTGGGAAGTCTGGGTTTTATGCATACAAGATCAGTGGCCAAAATTAGTGGGCTTTTATAACAATTAAGCCTGACTTATGTTGTATATTAATTACATCCTGTCATTAAAAAGATATCTCGGTTTACGTTAGGCTTCTAAGACTTAGTCGTGTGCAGTTCCTTTCTGCTCAGTATTTGGGTCATTGCACATCACAGGAGAGGGATCCAATGAAAGTTTTCCTATGATCTTATGAAAGTGAAGAACATAGAACCCCAAAATGCATTTCCCCAATTTTACGTATGAAAATCCATTCTAGAATTCAGCCAGCTTTGATATCTTTTAGGATCATCTTTCGTTTCCTCTCCTTCTTCACTCACTTGAATGTGTTTCAAGAACTATCTACATTTTTGGAAAGAGCCGTTAAACTGTTAATTGACTTTCTCCCCAGGAGAAATGGGAGCAAGCTACCTTTATAAAACAGTGCTTATTAGTACGTGATGCAGTGACTACAGTTTCTATAGGCTACATAATTTAATACATGTTGGCTAGTCAAAAACTTAGAACTGCTCATTCTGGCGCTCAACAGTCTCAAGGTTCCAATAAATAGCATTTCCTCCAGGAAACTTCATTTTCTTAGCTCCCTAGTCTATATGTAACATATTTAGGTACAAAATGATTCTTCCTGCTTCCTGCTGCCAAAGACTTCAGTTAGAGTTTTCTGTGTTTCTAAAATTCTCAGACTGTAATTATTTCTTAAAATGTAAAGCCAGTTGCTGCCTTTCTTTTACACAACTGGCCTCACTAATTTTAATCCAGGTTATAGCAAAGTTTGTGTTAACAACTGGGTCAAATAAACCATGTACCATCTTCCTTATCCTATTCTCACCTCACAGCAGTTTTGTGGATCTCGATGTAAGTCAGGTATTAAGGAAGGAGCTGAGCTGTTACCCTCATTTGAGTCCTAAAGAGGGAGTAGGTTCCTCAGTTTTGCTGTTATCTAATTGTTTGGAAACTACTGGCTGTTCCTTGACACAGCCACTTTTTGAAGACAGTGCCAAGAGTCCCATGTTCTGTTAAGGTTCCTGTAAATATAGAATCATAGAATCACAGAATGGTTTGGGTTGGAAAGGACCTTAAAGATCATCCAGTTCCAACCCCCTGCCATGGGCAGGGACACCTCCCACTAGCCCAGGTTGCTCAAAGCCTCATCCAGCCTGGCCTTGAACCCCTCCAGGGATGGGGCATCCACAGTTTCTCTGGGCAACCTGGGCCACTGCCTCACCACCCTCACAGTGAAAAATTTCTTCCTAATGTCTAGCCTAAATCTCTCCTCTTTCAGTCCTCTCACTACACTCCCTGATAAAGAGTGTTTCCCCATCTCTCCTGTAGCCCCCTTTAAGTACTGGAAGGCTGCTATTAATTCTCCTTGGAACCTTCTTTTCTCCAGGCTGAACAACCCCAGTTCTCTCAGCTTGTCCTCATAGGGGAGGTGCTCCAGCCCTCTGACCAATTTCGTGGCTCTCCTCTGGACTCTCTACAATAGATCCGGGTATTTTTTATGTTGGGGGCCCCACATCTGAACACAGTACTCCAGGTGGGGTCTTGCAAGAGCAGAGTAGAGGGGGAGAGCATGCAGAAGTATCGCTTTGATCAAAAGTTTGGCCTTGGCAAGTAAGTGCACCCTGAGGTCCTTTGGTTTCTTCCTTCGCATCACTCTGAAGGAGAAATGAGTGAACAGCTCAACAACGTTTTGGTGTCATCATACAGAGTTTAATCTGCATGAAGCAAATGGATGCCCTGGAAAGTATAGGACAGGCTGAGGACTCCCAGCAAGGCAATAACCAATTGTCTGTATGAAGGGTTTGATACGGTGGCTGGTGTATATTAGGGTTTATATGATGCTCACATCTACCTGGCTTTGCACAATACTCACACAACTGGCCACACCAAGAGTGCATAGAAGAGTTGTAATGGAATAAAGGCTTTATCACGTTTTCATGACCTTGTGCAGCTTAAGCCAGCATACTAGAAAATCAATATTGCTAGCATAGAAATCCATTTTCCATTAGCTCTTGATATGGGGATCCTGTAGTCTCCTCACTCCTGAATTCTTCCTCCTCTCTGTGGCCTCCATCCCTCACTAGAGGATTCAGTGATCCTGCTTTACATTTGCAGATAGGGGTGTGTGTGCCGGGGTTGGGGGGGG